TACTTTCCAAAGAGCCCTCTCTTTCTCTCTCCCCCCCATCTCTCTCTCTAAGTTTATACAGGAAAAAGCATTGTTTTGAATTCTTTTATTAAAAAAATCATTGGATGGGAGTTTGGAGATTGGACACCAGAGAGAACTAGAAGGAACGAAATATTACAACTAAAGGAGAACAACAATTAAATTTAACTTATTCATACAGAATGGAGCATATAGAAGGATATTTTGGAACAATGGATTCAGAAGTTATTTTAAAGAGTGTTTGCCTCTATAGGGAGACTGTAAAAGATATTATGGAAAAGCAACAATACTATTTTCAGGATGAGCATTTATTTAAGAAAATTTATATGGCTGCCCAACTCCCTCTCAGTGACCGCGGACATTTACAAATATAGCATTTGATGCTAATATAATAAAAGGAACAATTCTCTCTGCTTAAATTTTATATATATTCTGGGAGCATGCATGCGTGTAGGAATAAATAGTACACACATTCAGTGAAATGTGTTTATTCTCTGATTCAACTCTTAACCTGCCACTTATTTACTTAAAAGCAAGCTCAATTGATTTCAACAAGAATTACAATGAAATAAGTAGCATATAATAATAGTCAGTCTAAATTCTAATAACATTTTCATAAAAATTCCCTTTGGAATCATGAAAGTTTATCTTCTGTAAGTGAGATTAAGGCTATAGCTAACTTCAGAATCACTTTTACAGTACAGACCCTCCCAGGCATTAGTCCCAGCATGGTGGAATTCATAGCATTCTTTGCCAGTACCAGACACAGAAGGTTTGGATATATAGACATATGTACATAGACGCACATAGAGCACATAGATAAAACACCCCCACACACACTGAGAGAGAGAGAGAGAAAGAGAAAGAGAAAGAGGGAGGGAGGGAGAGGGAAAGAAAATTGCTCCAGTTTTTTTTTAATGGCTTTTGCTTTGCTAAGTGATAGAAAAACTGATGGAAAACAGCAGCTCATACTGCAAAACTATCTGTTCTACTGCTGTTATTTTCAAAACTGCACTTTTCCTTAGGGGAGTCATTGTGCCCTGCATGTCTTCTTCCATCTGGAAGCAGCTGCTGCAGAAGCAAAGGAAGTTTTTAGCTGGAAGCAAGGAGGTAATGGCAACTAAAACCATCTGCAGAACTCATTAGACTGATAGCCATGACTTTTGAAAGGGCTCCAAGTCAAGGATGCTTATTTTTATTCAGCAACAAAAGACTATTGTGAAGAAAGATAGAGCTGCTCGGAAATCCCAGTTGTCACAAAATTGCAGCATTTTACACCATGATTTATTTTGCTTTTTGATTCTCCACTGAGAAATAAAATACAGATATATAAATACATCAGTATTGTTGGATGTGTTCATAAGGCACAGCTATGAACGAACAGATTGCCAAAGGATGAGATATGGAACTTCAGTAAAATATTGTTCAATTTTTTGTACTTTAAAAAAAAATCTTATCAGGCTTGGATGAAAAGCTTCTCTAGAACCAAGATTTGAGTCTACCATAATTTTAAGTACTACTGTAGGAGAGCTATGTTGGTCTATGTTGTGTGTGTGGGGGGGGGGGGGAATCAGAGGGAACTTGGTAGCACTTTTTATGATTAACCAATTTTAAAAAGGTTTTTAAATTTAAAATTTAAATTGAAACCAGTTTTTTTTTAAAGCAAAAACTTCTGTAAGCTGCAGTAAATTTCACCAGATGTTAGTAGGAAAAGGTGCTACCAGACTGTCACTAGGTTCTATTGGGATGTATACCAAAAGTTCTCACCTACTAATTGTTTTTCAATTTGTGCCTTCCTGTCCATCTGGCGGGAAGGGGAGGGGCAGCTGAATCATCTTTACCAAACTCTTAACAGCTAAGAGGGTGGGTCTGAAACAGCAATCCCATGCACAATTCTTCTGCTCAACATTGGAATGGGATGTGTGGTTGTGCGATGAAAGTTAAGTACTGTGTAACAGCAAAAAAAAATGAAACCTGCAACATTTTAACTGATCTTAGAAGATAATGTAGAAAATGTTTGATTGTGACACACTGGTGTTTTTCCCCCCTTTGATCTAACCTAATTAATCTCATAGAGAAATTGGGAAAACGAACCAAGCAGACATCTTTTAATTCATGGGTGGAGGAATGAGGTATAAATAAAAAACAGCTAAATAAATACACCTTTTTCTCATGCCTCTTAAATTCTAAGAATTCAATAAGAAATATCCAAACATACTCTTCAAATTCTTCCAACTAATGAATTTTAATAAGGTTTTATCTGTCTTTGGCAAGTAATATCACAACTGTTCACAGTATTCTTTACCTTTGACATCTGGACTACTGTAATTTTCTTTACGTGGGCTTCCCTTGAAAATAATTCAGAAGCTTCCGTTGATTCAGCAGGTAGCAACCCAGGTTTGCTTACACTTCTAGCTAAATTTCCTCCACTTCTGCCAATACTACCACTAACTTCTAGGTACAATTTTAGGTTCTCGTTGTCATCCTTAATGCCCTATATGGCTCCGAGTCTGGTTACCTCTGAGACCGCCTGCTCTAGCTTGTATCTACCAATCTGCTGAAATCAGGGTAAGGAGTCAAAGGAATCTTAATTTTGAAATATTTTCTCATTCTAACTTATGTTAAACACTAACATTAACTCAGGACCAATGGAGAAAGCTACAATGAACAAACTAGGTTTACCTCTGAATAAAAATCATATACAATTAAAATAATATAAAACATTTTCAAGCTTTTATTTTTTTTCTGTGATATGGCCAGAACTGAAGATTAAAAGCAGGTATGTTCCATTTGCAAATAAATCCTTTTTTATTTAATTGACACAAATTAATGTGTCTCTCAAGATATTCCAATATTCTGTTTATCAAGATAAAATTCTATTCAGTATGCCTTGCTTGGTGAACATGCATGACAGCCCTTTGACTATCTTTGTCCATAATTGCCAATGGATTAGAACTGAAAATATTGAATTGATCCCTTCTTCCAGTGACTTGTTGGGAAATATCCCCATGATAAGAGATATAGGCCTAAGTATTTTTGAGCAAATATCTACTGGTACTCCAAAGCAAATATAGGATAAGGATGGTCCTTGGTTATATATCCTATTCTGGTTATAATTTTTGTATTTAAAAAGGAGGACAAGGAGAAAAAAGTAAGGCCAAATATATTCAGCCATTTTTAATTGTATTTTTTGATACTTCTTCTTCTTGTGCCATATCCGTCATCGGATGTTGGCGATCATGTTAGCAAACCTATTTTTATCAACAGCCGCAAAAAAAAATGCTATTGAGTTTTGTCCAAACCAGTCCCTTAGATTTTGAAGCTATGATGTTCTTCTTCTGCCTGGACCTTGTTTGCCTTCAATCTTTCCCTGGAGTGTGAAGTATGCCATATTTTTCTGTGTGTTGATCACAGTCTGAAATATTTTAACTTTAACTTTTTAATGGTTTTCATGATTTCCCTGGGCTTTCCCAGGTGGTTTATCACCTCATTTCTGATTTTGCAACCCAGCTTATACGCAACAGCCGCCTGTAAATCCTCATTTCAAATGCTTTTTGATACATAGTCCATCTTATATCCTAAAATCTCGGATGGAGATGGTACACAACTTGACTTTTTAAAAGTGTGTATATGAACTTTATTCAGTTGTCTGTGAAAAGACCAGAGAAAAGTTGGTACTGTGTAAATTTAAATCTTCCCCAAAACCTAACTATTTCATTAAACTCAGGATAATCCAGCATCACAGAGAGTTACACTGCAGGCAAAGGACATGTTGTGCACCCAAAGGGATTTGATTATTTCCTTGCAAGCCATTCACATGCCACAAATGCCTGGTACAAAGCATCAGCTAATAAGGAAGATACTATTTAAAAATGCTTTATTTTTGAGGATGCTTTATGGTGAAATAACGCCAAATACATTTTTAATTGCTTTCCAGATATTTTTGGAGTAGGCTGAAAAGATGTAAATGAATTCTCTGCCAAAACCAAGACTAATGTAAATGGATAATAACAAAACTGGATTATGGATTATAATCCCCTCCCTACCCTCCATCACGCTCCAGGTAAGTTTGGTACTATTCTGGCTAGGCAATGAGTTTGGATAAAGCACACTTTAAAGGTTCCAGTACTGAAGAATATAGCTTTATATTCACAACGGACTATTTACAAGTATTGCATCTGGTCTCCTTCTGACTTGTATGTACACCTAGGGCCCATTCTACACCTCATGTTTCTCTGTGACTCCAATCCCTGGGAAGCCAGTGATGGGAAGATATCAGGAAAGCATCAAGTTGAGGAAGGATGAAACAGGCTTTGTAAAGTCATACTTTACAAACGATTAAAAAGACTTGTGCTTCAGTCTTGTATGGTTTTATGATGTTCAGCACCCGAAAACACAAAAGCTTAGAAGCAAATCCTGTGCTGGCATGAAATCAGTTTTAGGAGAAAGTCTTTTTCAAATGCAGTCTTTCTCCCCCCCCCCCGCCCCCCCCGTCACTCAAGGGAGGTTAACTTTGGATACTTTGTTACTTCTTGCCCCAGACTGGTATAAACGCTTGCACATTTGAACGGAGCACACACACCCCACCTCCCCTTCCTTTAACTTCCTTTTTTGAGAGACAGATGGTGGTTGAGCGTTTTTCCCCCCTCGAGGTCTTCCTTTGAAGACGTTCTGCGCCGATTGTACAGCATTTCAGCTGTTCTGAATTAAATCATCGCGTCCTCGAAGGGGAGTGTACCAAGTGACCTCTCCCGCACCTAGACAAATGGCAATGGTGGTCCGGCCCCTCCCTACTTCCCCCGTCCGCAAGGTACGGGTGGGTGGGTGGCCGAGGGGAAAGCAGGAGCTCCCTGGACGAAGGTCTCGGAGGAGTCTCCGTCGCGCATGCGTGCCGCTGGCTTTCTCCCTCCCTCCTCCCCACCTCTCCTGGTTTTCCCCCACCTGAAGTTAACTTCTGGCGCTCCGACTTGCACTTTGGAGGCTCCCAGGCAGGCGATGGCCCTTTGGCTCAAGTTCTGCTCTTTCTTCTTCTCCCTCACGGCCTGCCTCGATGGGCCGCGTCTGGCCGTCTCCGCCGGAGGGACCAGTAGCAGCGGCGGTGGCAGGAAAGGATCCGCGGGCGAGGCTTGCGGCTGGATGGTAAGTCCGGTAGACCGACGGTTTGGGTTTGGCCTGGGTTGGATTTGACCACGGCGCGTTTGGGTCCCAAGTTCGGTTTATATTCCGACCGAAGGTAGGAAAAGGCACCAAGTTTGCCCGGTGCCAGATACCTTTCGGTTTAAAGCGCTTCGGGACACCGACAGCCGGGCGATGGCAGGACTGTGCCCGCTTTGCAGTTTACTGCAAGCACAGCTGTGCAAGCAAGGCTCCCCCTTCCTTCCTTCCTTCCCTCTCTCTTCTTCCCTCCTTCCCTCCTTCCCTCTTTCTTTCTTTCTTTCTTTCTTTCTTTCTTTCTTTCTTTCTTTCTTTCTTTCTTTCTTTCCTTCCTTCCTTCCTTCCTTCCTTCCTTCCTTCCTTCCTCCCTCCCTCCCTTCTCTCCTTTCTTATTCTTTCTTTCTTTCTTTCTTTCTTTCTTTCTTTCTTTTCTTCCTCCCTCCCTCCCTTTCTCCCTCCCTCTTTCCCTCCCTCTCAGCTTGTTCCTTGCTGGGGCTCCCCATCTAGCAAACAAGAGGGCCAGCTGGCACTTGTAAGCTTTTGGGATGGTTGGCAGCAGAGCTTGACTGCAGTTTCGCATCAAAGGAGTCTGGGGAGGAAGGAGGGACTGGGTAGTGGAGAGGGATGGAGCAACAAGTGTGAAGTAGCACCACAGGTCTTTTATGCGCCTGTCTCCCTAATTCTTCTCTTAACTAGACCTGTCCTGGGAGAAGAGGATAAAAGGCGATAGCTTGGCCTTTGTCATTTTAATCACTGCAGGCTGGTTTGGTTACAGGCCTGATCTTTACTAACTGGGAGTGTTGGTAAGGTGATAAAAAGAGATTTAGGGTTTCACCTTTTGTCTCTCCCTGAAGTTGCAATTTCCCTCTTGGGTTCCCTAAGTGTGATTTTCCTCTCTCTCTCTCTCTCTCTCTCTCTCTCTCTGTGTGTGTGTGTGTGAAACAAAAAACAAAGACCGCTTTCCTCTGAACCTGCTCCTTTCAGTTTTCAGCCTTATTAAAGATTCCAGATGACTGGCACCAGTGACTTTCAACATTCTTTTTTGTTGTTGTTAAACTGCCACAAAGATTTCCTGGGGATCAGGTCATGAAGAGGGGTGGGGGTTGGAGGGGTCTAGGAGACTGGTGAACTAGTGAAGTGGCTCCGGTATTATTAACCTCCCTTCTTCTGCTGTTTCTTTGTTCTTGCTTTATTTTTATAGTCTTTTGTGGTTTTAATATTTTTAATAATTATGATAATGGCAACTCAATAAATTGGAGAGATAAATTGTAAGATAAGTTGTAAAAAAACAAAGGAAGTGACCCACTGGCATGGATTAGTTGTGTTCATACCTGGAAGGGAAATTCTGTGTAAAAATACATACATAGCTATAGGAAAAGAACTAAACTTTTAGAGGGACAACTTGCTAGAGTTAATAATTGATTTGCAGATTTTAAAGTTTTAGTATATGTACATGAGAACCTTAGAAGCTCTAATGCTTCCCAAAGATTTGTTGCATTTTCTAATAAAAATGGTATCAATTGCTCTATGAATAAAAAAGCCACAGAAATTGAAATTTAGCTGAAAAAATAGACAGAATTCATTCCATCATAACAAAATTAATTTGCACTCATCTAAAGATTGCTTTTAGTTATCATCACATTTTTTCTGCTCTTAGCTTTAGAAATTGGTTCATTTCATTGTTTAGGAAAAAGCTATAATGTTTTGTGTTTGTGGCGGGGAGAGAAAACACTGATTACAGTTTGGGTCACATTCATAAGCACTGATTGCGGAATAAAACCAATTGCCTTGTTTGCATAGCAATTGTCTTGGTCTGTTTGTACATTTTGAATAGACTTTGCCATACTATTGAATGACTGATGGCCCCTGTAACACATTGTCTGCTCTGGGGCAAGGCTGCCTTTGAAGTACTATCCTGTAGGAAGTAAAACGACTATTTGTTGTATTAAAATTCCTCGGTATTTCCTCTGTTTAACCACAGGCCACTTCCCCTTTACCACTCTAAACACTGCAGGGACACTGGCTGATTGAAAAAGCACAAGGACTGAAGTAATTGCATCTCATTCAGACAGCAATGCTTAGTATAGTTTATTTATAATCCTCAAGTTCCTTATTTGTAGTATGTGATAAAAGAGAGGGTTAAAAACAAGATGGGAAGCATCCTATTGACTTTGGATCAAAGTATTTAGGTAACTTACTGATACACCTTAACTGGAAATCTAGAGAGAGCAAAAAAGATGTGTTGAATTAAAGTAGGTCCAGATGACTTCATGCTCTACTAAGTGTGCATATACTATCCTAAGAGGGAGGCTATAGCCTAGACCTCTACATACTACTTATGAGTAAACTTGCTCAATGTAATGCTATAGGTTGTGTAATGGAGATTGATCAACTAAACTTTTGAGAGCCTTGTTTTAAAAATTTGTTTAATAAACAACGTGTGCTTTCCATCAGTCTAAAATAATTGTGCAAATTTTTGAAGTGAACTTCACCATTTAATTATTTTTAAAAGATGGGATTTGCTAGTGGCCCCATCCTTTCAGTATTATATTAAGGATATAAATAAATGACATGGTGAATGGTGAACAATAAGACTAAAATAGTTATTCCACACTTGAAACTGAAAATTGTTTTACTTTTTCCTTTGACATACAAACTAACCCTAACCCCTAAACTGGCCTTTTACCAAAAGATAATATTTTAGGTAGGATAGTAAAATATATTATTCTGTACAAAACCTGATAAATCTGATATATCCCATTTTAAAATGTTGGGTTGTTCCAAAACATGGGCCAGAGCTACTTGTTTGGTTTACAAAATGGTTTTGTGTGAAATATTGAGAATTTCTTTCATATTGATAATAGTATTATTTGTTAATGTTGCAATGAATGCAACACTGCATGCATGGAAGCAGATTTTTTGCTGTCAGATAGAAAATTTCTGTTGTACTTTGAAATACGTCACCTATAAAATTTCTCTGTAAATTAGAAAATACCTATAATCAAATTGTAAATTAGAAAACACCTTGTGATTGTCCTGAATAACACCAGCTCTGTACTGGGAAGGTAGACTGACTGGATTCACAGTTCATAGTAAATCATTATTAAGTATACTGCAATTTTCCAAATTTGGTGAACAATAAAATATAGTTTATAATGACAAATACAATACTTTAAATCAAGATTAAACAAAAACATATGCATTGATAAATGAACTCCCACAACTGCCTATCAAAATAGCAGCAAAATGATCTTTTTAATTGTTAAATTATAGTCTTTTGGTTTGCCTCTAATTTTGTGAAATAGGAGAAACATCAATATTCACAAGGAGATGATTTTTCCCTATGCTCATTAAACCTACTTGAGTGTTTTTTATCCCCCTTTTCATGGGTTATCCTCCTTTTGCCTTTTGAATGGCTCTATACCCTCTGCCCTGTAATGTATTGCGATAGTGGGGTTCATTGCTGTAGAGGTACAGCTGCAGCAGGAAGTTGTTTGTGCTTGTGGATAGTATCTATGTGATTAGAGGACCCTGTAATATTAAGGTTCAAAACTGGGCCAAAAATTGTGAGTGAAAAGAGGGTGGTGGAGACAATGATGTGGCGGAGTGGGTAGTACCAGAAAACTCATCTGTGTAATCCTTCTGATCTAGGAAGGGGCATAAATGCTGAAGAAGATTCCCGTGGTTCCTTTTTCTTCTTAACACATGCTAGGGTTATCTTTGCTTAATTGGTTAATCCTCTGGAACAAAGCTAGACATTTGTACTCATGCAAATAAGTTTATCAAAGACTTGTTACATCAGATGTACAGTGTGCCAGATTGCCATGCGATAGGAGGGGAAGAATGAAGGTATTTGTAACAAGCCCATGTTACTTGATTCTTTTCTGTAAAATAGGTGGATGGGAGGATGCTCTCAATAATACCCTTCCCCAACCTTGCACCATTTCTTCGTATTGTTTCCATAAAGCCAATAGCAAGCTGGCTGAATAATGTGGAAGTTGTAGTACCAATAAACCTAGGAGTGAAAAAACTTGGACTAGGTCCTGTGAAGTCATGTTCTCATTTAAAAGGAATTTAATAGAATCTCTATAACTTCAGGGTTTCAAAGCCAGGGCTCCAAGTCAGGGGGAAAAAACCCACAGCTTTTGAGTACAATTTATTTTAATAAGGCTAATGTGGGTGTTGGGGAGATGCAGTGATGATATCTGTGTAATGACGTGCTGACATAAATGCTGAAAATGCAGCATTGATATGACCATGTGCATGAATCATTGTTTGATGTTATTTCAGCATGTTACAGACATTGTTGTTCCAGAATATATATACAGTCAATATCTGGGAATGAACTCAGCAGTCATTTTAGCTGATATTGTGAGATAAAGATTTATCCTATGAGTTGACATTGTAGAATTTATTGGTCTTTTGCTGTCCTCCAAAACTGAAAGGAAGCTGCTCAGAAGTAGTATTCAGTAGGTTCTGACCAGTTCTGGAGAACCAGTAGCAAAAATTTTGAGTAGTTCGGGCAAATACCACCTCTGATTGGAGATTTTACAGTATCTTTCTCCTGCTACGCCCACCAAGCCACCCCCACAGAACCGGTAGTAAAAATTTTTTGAATCCCACCACTGAAGCGGCTACTTCCTTAGATGATTCCCCCCCTCAAAAATCATTAAACATTTTTACAGTGGTCTGATCAACATCAGCATAGACCTTAGTGTACAGTGTGTACAGTATATAATAGTCTAAGCGTAGATCTGTTTTCCAGTGCTGCTCTAGGACTTCAATATCCTGATAACTAGATGAAATGATTAACCTTCATTCCACCTTCTTGGCCCTGACTGGAAGATGTTTTAGTCTCTTTGCATCTGTCTGAAACAAAAATCTTCCAAGAAAGTTTTTTTTAAAGAAAATATGAGGTTGCAAGAACTTCAGCAATTGATCTGTTTCTCACATACAGCTAACATCTTCAACATACATTGCGAGTA